TGATTACAGGAAAACTTTCCAGGATCAGAATCTAGTAATCATGAAAGAATTGATAGGGGGAGACAGGTGCTTGATGAACACAGTGTAATCTGAAACAGCCCTTTCACTTATAGGAGACCTTTTCTATTTCTTCTCTTTGTATTGGGTAGAAAAGGGCAAAGTGTTTCTCTCAGCTCCTGGTGCATTGCCTTATGCCTAGATGACACTTAAGTGCTTATTTAATTGAGCTGAATTTTATTAATGGGACATTCAGAACCAATTACCAGTTCCATTGTTGGTGAAAATATTCATCATTGCTTGAAGTCTCCACCATACTTCTCCAAACTCAGGAGCTGAGTTTAGGGACAAGCTTTATGATGTCAGTATCTTACAGTTCAAATGGGGAAATTGGTCACATCTAAAAGCAAACAGGCTTGTGAAAGATCTCTGTCCAAGTCGTTCGTTGTTGACAAATGACGAGGGGAATGCCTGGAGCCAGTAATGATTCCAGCATTAAGGAAGTCTTACTATACCCTCAGGGAGAGGGATACTTTCATTGGGTGAGTAGTTGGAAATCCCAAGTATGTGTGCTGTAATATCTCAGTTCCTGAGTAATGTGCCTTACAGGCAGATGTAAAAATGAGTATACTTTTATAATTTGCCTCAAACACTGCATTCATCTCTATGGGATGTGCACAGTGACTGACACTCATTTAAATCCTAGCATCCTAGGGCACCTGGGTGGCTCAGATGGTTAAGCGTCTGCCTTCGGCTCAGGTCATGATCCCAGGGTCCTGGGATCGAGTCCCGCATCAGGCTCCCTACTCCTTGGGAGCCTGCTTCTCCCTCTGCCTCTCTCTCTCTCTGTCTCTCATGAATAAATAAAATAAAATCTTTAAAAAAAAAAAAATAAATCCTAGCATCCTATTTCAGCTTGTTGAATTCTGAAAAAGCAATCCAGGATGGTGTTCTGGTGAGTTACCCTTTAAGATGGCATTATTGTCTCTATTGTTATTAATAAAATGTATTATTTCCATTTAAGGAGTTTGAAATTTAGTGAACTAGTTTGTATCCTATTATACATGCCTCTAGGTTTTAAGAGTTTTAACATTGAAATGTAACTATTTGAAATCTCTGTAACAATCCAAGGGAGGAAGTATATGATATTTTAGGGTAAGGGATAAGTTTTATTTGCTTTGAGGAACTAGTATGCATCTTTGTCTCTGTTGATAAAAGAATGTTGTGATAAAAGATTATTGTGTTTCCCTTTCTATTTAGCCTGGTTTCCTAGGTGCTACATTTGATGCTGAACTATATTTACTGGTTAGCATATTTGATTCCTTCTCTCTCCTGGACCTGAACTTTCTTTTACTTTCTATTACACAGTATATATCTCTTCTTGTAGCCAATGCACATCCAGCTGGGAAGAGAGAAGGTACAAATAAATTCAATTTATTATAACCATTAAACTATTCCCAAAGGGTCAAGACCATGCCCCTCAGCACAATGAGTTCCAAGGTCATAATACGTACCTGAAAATGTTTTTTGAATGAATGAAGCTCAACAAGAGTTTAAAAATGTCAGGGAGACTATTTGAGAGGGAAACTAGAGATGCTATCTTGAAAGAGGAGACATTTATGTTAGACTGAGAAATGAATAGAGTTTTGACAGGCAGAGATGGGCTGGTGAGTTTTTTAGAGAAGGAAATTGCATGAGCAGAGATGTGGAAACAAAACCATGGCCATGTCCTCATAATGGTGAATGATCCATTTTGGAGAAGCACTGGGAAGGTGAATGGAGTATTGGGAGGGAGCCTGGCCCGCTACTGCTGCTGGAATGGCCATCTCGGCCATTGCTAGCTCTTGTCTTTTATCATCTTGTCTGGAGTGAGGCTCCAGAGTCCACAAGCCCAACAGTTCCCAGGGCAGGAAAGGCACACAGCCCATACCCCTCTAGTGTCCTCTCATATCCCGCCCTTGACTCTTAGCCATTTACTCTAATCCTTTACTTAAAACAACTTAGCCGTGATGTTATTTTAACCCTGCTTAAAACCCAAGCAGTCCAAAGGCTGTCGTGCAACCTTAATTATTCTTTAGTTTACTCACCAGGAGGCCCTGAACATAAAGCACATCTGCACCCATACGAAGCAGACATCCTCTCACAGATAATGGATTATTTCATTACTTGAAGCTGTATGGCTGAAATTTAGACGTAGTTAAAACAAAAGCTTATATTTATTAAGCATTATGTGCCAAGCACTCTACTAAGTACTTATACTCATGATGTCATTTAGTCCTTATTGCTGTCCTTAGTATATGCTATAATCTTTATTTCAGTAATGAGAAAAAAATAGAAGTTTAGTATCATTTAAGTTCACAGTAGGTGCCAGAGCTGGTATCTGAATCTAGGAAGTCTGACTCCAAAGCCTGAGCTCTCAGCCAATACACTGTACTGACTTAAAGAAACATATTAAGGGGTGCCTAGTGGCACAGTCGGCTAAGCATCTGATTCTTGGTTTCAGCTCAGGTCGTGATCTCAGGGTCATGAGATCAAGCCCTCCATCAGACTCCGTGCTCAGCAGAGTCTGCTTAAGACTCTTTTCCCTCTCCCACTGCCCCTCCTCCCTGCTCTCTCTCTCAAATAAATAAATAAATCTTTAAAAAGATAAGCACATTAAGAAAGTATGAGAGATAAAATGGTGTTCCATGTTCAATAGATGATGACAAAAAAGGGGTAGCGTTCATAGGCTTTTATATTTAAGATTTTGTGAACTGAGTGGCCATGGACTCCTTAAGGCCTTTGTCATTTCAATACTTAAATTAAAAATTATTTCTGAATGCCTTTAGATAGGGCATACACCCTTCTTTTCATGCATATCCTTTATCAGCCCACAAATTTATGGCATTGGTGAATATGTTACATTAGTTCAGAATGCATTGACTGTATTGGCTCAGAATGCAACTCCAGTCATGCAGTTCCTTGTTTAAGTCAAGGAAGGAGAAGAAGGATGATGCCAACCATGAAGGTCCCTTTTTATTAGGAAAGGAAGACCTTTCCTAGAAATCCCTGCAGGACACTCCCCTTACATCTCCTGAGCTAGAACTGGGCTGCTTGGCCATCCTTCACTGCAGAAAAGGTAGAAAGGTAAGGAACATGACTTTCATGGTGAGCTTAAATCAGTCAAAATCCTCCACCTGGAGCTGTATGCATTGGCACCCCAATCAAAATTGGGGTCCTATTAGCAAAGAAGAAGGGGGGATGAATATTTGAAAAGTGACTAAAAGAGAGTATTTGTCATCCTGATGTTTTTTAAAATTCTGATTGACTACATACTACCGTCACCCTACACCACCCTCACAGTGGAATGATTCATCAGGATAAGCGAACTACTGGAACAAAATCTCAAAATTTCAATGGTTTAATTAGTTACTTGTTCACATTGCAATCCAACATGGTGAGTTGCTTCTCCTTGCAGTTGCTCAGGGATCTAGGATCCTTTCATCTTCTGACGCCATCTTTGAATTCCAGTCCCCAGGATCCCCCTGGAAGGAGGAGAGTTTAGGGAAGGCACACAATGCTTAACTGTCTGGCCATCACATTGGACACATTCCATTGTGAGAACTAGGAAATGCTGTTTGGCTGTGTCTCTAGGGAGAGGTAGTGGGTTTGGTGAGCATCTTGTCAGCTTCCGCCACACTATGGTTGAGGGAAATTTAGTTGTCTTGAAGACAGTTGACAGATGGATAAAGGGATTCTTTACAAATGTGAAAAGTGAGTTTCACAAGAAGTTATAAATAAATGAGACTTACTATCTCTTGTTATTTCTTAAAGATATTTCACCTAATATTTCTTTTTATAGACAGTTAAAATATGGATAGTAAAGTTTCAAGTATATTTCCAAAAAGCCTTCCCTGGCCTCTCCAGATGATAAGCAGACTGCTGTATTTACTTCTGTGTGTGCTGCTCCTTGGCTGTAATAAGTGGTTGACATGAATCTCACTTGGCTGTAAACTCTCAGAGGGCACAGACCATGTACAATGCATCTTTCAATCACCAGGGTTTAATGCCTACAAGATAACTAATGATCTTGTGGGATTGAATGATTGATTAAATGGATAAATTGCACAAATGAATATATTGACAATAGTACAACTTCAATTCAGACTAAAAGGAGAAAAGGCTAGTTTTGAATTCATAAAAATTTTGATTTATAGAATTTTCATAAAAATGTTTTTATCTGCAGCATAAATGATAATTTGACTAGTTGCTCATAAATAATATATATAGTAATAGCATCTAGTTGTATACAAATGATTATGAGGCAAAAATCTTAAAATTTTTTCAAATATAACACTGTATGTTAACTAACTGGAATTAAAATAAAAACAAAAAATTTTTTCATAAATAGACTAAGCATACAGTTAAATCTGAGTGGCCCTAAATTTCACATATGTGAAGAATAGTTAGATTTTTATTTCACTAGTAATATTTATATAGTTGCTATTTTAATTTTTTATTCATTAACTCAACCAATATTCAGTGAGTTCCTCCTCAAAGAAAAGGCACTTATAGACATACTAGTCTATAATTATATAATTGTATGATTTTATAATTGGGATGAGGGCTACAAAGGCAAAGAGTAACAAGAGTGCATAATTTATACTGGAGATATAAGGAAGTTTTTAAGGACATACTGTGTTGAGATGAAAAGGAAAAGTGAGAGAAAGGTAGAGAAGAGTTGCAGTAAGAGCACTTCACAGTGTGTGAAGGGGTTGAGGAAGGGCGCTTGACATGTGGGAGGAGCTGAGAAGGAAGGTCAGGGCCATCTGGACTGGGGAGAGGTACAGAGGTAGGAAGGGGACAGGCTTCTGGACCTTACAGGCCATGTTAAGGCTTTAGACCTTGCTTTAATCCATTAGCTCATGTGATTCAAGAAACAAAAAGAGAAAGTCTTGTTTAAGATGGCATCGTATAATAAACCTTTCAGCAAGAAAACATTTTGGGATAAAATATATAAATACAGCTTTGCGCAGTGGCAGTATCGTAGCCAATGAGGTTTATCCGAGGCGCGATTATTGCTAATTGAAAATATATAAATACAATAAATACAATATTTATTTTTAAATTAAAAAAAATACCACACTTATGGGGTGCCTGGGTCGTGCAATTGGTTCAGCTCAGACTCTTGGTTTCAGCTCACTTTGTGATCTCAGGGTTGTGAGATTGAGCCCTGCCTGGGGCTCCCCACTCAGCGTGGAGTCTGCTTGGATGTCTCTCTTCCTCTCCCTCTGCCCCTCCCCACCTCAAATAAATAAATAAATCTTTAAAAAAAATACCACACTTGGAACAATGGTGAAAAAAGTTTAAAACTGTTGGTTATGCCTCATGAAGGAAGGATAGAAACTAAGATCAACAGGAAGGTGATGGGAGATGGATTTAAATACATGGGGGGCGGGAATGGAGTTCTAGCTCAATCTCACTTTTTAAAAAATATTATATTTATTTATTTGTTGGGGGGGATGGGGAAAGGGACAAGCAGACTCTGAGCTGCAGAGCCCGACGTAGGGCTTGATCCCATGACCCCGAGATCATGCTGAGGTGAAATCAAGAATCAGAGGCTTCGGGGCACCTGGGTGGCTCAGTCGTTAAGCATCTGCCTTTGGCTAGTCATGATCCTAGGGTCCTGGGATTGAGCCCCACATCGGGCTCCCTGCTCAGTGGGAAGCCTGCTTCTCCCTCTCCCGCTCCCCCTGCTTGTGTTCCCTCTCTCGCTGTCTCTCTCTCTCTCTCTCTCTGTCAAATAAATAAATAAAATCTTAAAAAAAAAAGAGAGAGGCTTAACCAGCTGACCCACCCAAGTGCCCCTCAATCTCACTTTTAAATCAGAATAATTTCCAGATGACTTAAAAATATCAAAATAATGATAGCTAACCTTTATTTAGCTTGTACTATGTGTCAAGCCCCGATTTAAGCACTTTTTATTATATTGTACATATTTTACTCATTCCATCCTTAGAGCAGCCCTATAAATTAGGAGCTATTTTTTCCACCAATTTTAAGGTGATGGACACTGCTACAGGCACTGGAAACCTTGGCATTCTGGCTCCAGAGTTTGTGTTCTTTTTTTTTTTTTTAATATTTGAGAGAGAGCGAGAGCACAAGCGGGGAAAGGGGCAGAGGGGGAGGGAGAAACAGACTCCCTGCTGAGCAGGGAGCCCAACTCCGGGCTCAATCCCAGGACCCTGGGATCATGACCTGAGCTGAAGGCAGATGCTTAACTGACTGAGCCACCCAGGTGCCCCCAGAGTTTGTGTTCTTATCTATCACATACATACTGTCTTTAAAACTTCTAAGAAAAAACAAAGGTAAATGTTTATATGATATTAATATAGGGAAGATCATTCTAAACATGATTATCAAGCCAAAAACAAAGAAAAAAAATTGATAGATTTGACTATGTGAATATATTTATTTAAACTTTTACATTTCCCCTAAATATCCAAAACAAAAAAAAAATATAAACAAGAAGAAAAAATATTGGCAGGGTATATAATAGAGTGTTAATATTCTTTGTATATAAAGCATTCTTATAATCAATGAAAAGAACAAATCTAAAAGAAAATAGTATAGAGATCAACAAACTAGTCCTGGGCTAAAGCCAGTCTACCATGTGTATTGAAAATGAAATTTTATTGCAGTACAGCCATGTTCATTTGTTTCCATATTGTCTATGACTACTTTTGAGCTACAACTCTGAATCAAGTAATTGTGACATCAAAGCTTGCAGTGTTTACTATCTGATCCTTTACAGAAAAAGTTCCCTGACTTCTGATGTGGAGAAATATCCACTTCTGGTGGTCTTGAAACCAATAGAGTCTTTTTCCTTTGGAAGGCTTTGGATGGCCGAAGAATGGAGTAGTTGGTCTCTTAAGGTTCCTCCCTCACTTCCATCCAGTTTCATCTTGAACTCATCTCAGTTTGAATTATTACACATGAATGCCTGTGATTATCTGTTTTTTCTTATGTATTTTTTTCCATTGGGTGTGTGCTCCTACCTTTCTACTCTTTATCTACAGCACCAGCTCTTCCATGGTAAACAGAGTTCTTGGTGTTTTCAAGACATATTCTCTGGCTTTCATCGATGCTTGACTCTCCAACCATACACTTTTCTCTGCTCTTACATCCAGGTTGTTGACTTTTGCTGGAGAAATTCACACAACTAGGGCAATTGATAACAATTGCATTTATGGTCTCGCATCTCTGCTAGGAATTCTGTCCTGAAATCCTACATCCCAGATCAGCTCTTCCCCAATTACATCTGACAGCTGGACTGCCTAAACGGTCTTCTCTTACTTCAGCACTCCTGTTCCCTTTCCAGCTCTCTGAAAACGAACTTGCCTTTTACCTCACAGATGAAAATGAGGTCTTCCTGCAGCAAATACTGGGTCCTAACTTCTTCTCATTTCTCGGAGTGAAGAGGCCATTTGTGATACTTTCTTCCCACTTTACCTTAAACATTTTGCCTCTAAACTCTTTTCTTTCCTATAACTTATAAGTTAATCTCTATGCTTTCTACAAAAAAGTGAAAGAAGGAAGGAAGGGGAGGAGGCAGAAAGGAAGAGAAAAAGAAGAGATTAAGAGAGGGCGCCTGGGTGGCTCAGTTAGTTGAGCGACTGCCTTCGGCTCAAGTCGTGATCCCGGAGTCCCAGGATGGAGTCCCAGGATGGAGTCCCGCATCGGGCTCCCTGCTCAGCAGGGAGTCTGCTTCTCCCTCTGACCCTCTTCCCTCTCGTGCTCTCTGTCTCTCATTCTCTCTCTCTCAAATAAATAAAATCTTTTAAAAAATAAAAAAAAAGAAGAGATTAAGAGAGAAAGAAAGATAAGATAGAGACAAAGAGAGGAGAGTTGGAAGGAGGGGGAAAGAAGGAAAGAAAAAGGCAGAAAGGAAGCTTTTTGATATTTTTTGGGGGTCTCACACGCCTCATCAATTGTCCTTGCACATCTCTCTTTCCCTTCACAGCCCAGCTTTTGAACACATGCTCTGTATTTGTTACTGTTTTCCTCACATAGTGTCATATGATTTAGTCTCCTGTGAGGCTTGTGAAGGTGCCCCAGCCAAGGTTTTCCCTTCCATTCCTATCCTGTTGGACTAATTTGAACTTATGATACAGTTGACTGACTGTTAATTCATTCATTTCTTCTTCTTCTTCTTCTTTTAGAAACTGGGGGGTTGGGGGAATTGGAGGGGCAGAGGGAATGAGGGAATCTCAAGCAGACTCCCCACTAAGTGAGGAACCCCACGTGGGGCTCAATCTCACAACTCTGAGATCATGACCTGAACTGAAATCAAGAGTTGGATGCTTAACCCACTGAGCCACCCAGGTACCCCTTAACTCATTCTTAAAAGCTGCTTTACTTTCTTGGTTGACACTACTCTCTTTTGGCTTCTTTTTTCTTTTTCCTCAAGTGCTATACATGCTGCTACTCATTTTCCCAACTCTTAAATAGCATTACATCCTTGGTCTTCCAATTATATATTCTTCCTAGGCAATCTCATTATCTCTATGCTAAAGAGTCACAAATATCTATCCCCAGCCTAGACCTTTTTGCAGAGTTTTCTGTCAGGTGCCTACTTGGGCATCCACCTGCCTAGATGTCCTAATGTCATCTCAAACTGAACATAGCAAAATCCAGCTCCCCATGACTCCTGTCATGCCATGCCATACCATGCCATACTGTACCCTGTCATAACTACATGAACCACTGTACCGTAATACGCTGTGACTTGTCTGTCTGCCCAATTCCACTTGGAGCTTCTTAAGAGCAGGGACCACATGTTTCATCTCTGTATCTTCAATGTTCAATACATTGAAATTGTTGACTCAATGTGTGAGAGAATGGAAGTAATGAAGATAAGTGAAAGCAAGAAAGGATGGAACTTATTTTGGATTCAAGGGTTCCCAGCAGAAATCATAAATAATCAATCAGTAGATAGTCTTCTGAAATGAACCAAGTCTGGGAAGTTGGCTGGATGATGAAGTACCAAAAAACATTCTCCTTACTTTAGAGCCTATCAATAAAACACAACAAAAACTCATGAGCCTGTTGAAACTGACAAAGTAGCTGTGACAGATGACTTTTTATTTAGTATTTAAGCCATTTAGGCTCATAGATTGTAGAATACTAAGGCTACGGTAGCATTCTCCTCAAAATATGAAGTCTAGTATAAACATTGGAAATTTTACATTTAGCACTGAGCAGTTTCATTTAGTACCTGAATTCTTGGTACTTGGTGGCACTGAGAACACTTAGTATAAAATGTTCTGGGTGTAAAATGTTCTGATATCAAGTGTTCTTAGAGTGTTTAAGTCAGAATAGTAATTCTTGAGCAGTTTGTTACACCAATTACAAAAATATACAAGAGAGAAAACACCAGTCATATTGTATTAAAGTAGAGAAATTATGTCCTCAGAGTCCAGATTTGAATTAATAAAGTGGCAATCAGATGTCATAAGGAAAAGATATGTATGCCATGCTTAGACCAGAAACTGATCAATTATACAGTTTAAAACTCAGATTATCTTAATGCTAATAGTAATGTTTTATTTTTTAAAAAATTCACGACTTTGGGGCACCTGGGTGGCTCAGTCCTTAAGCGTCTGCCTTCAGCTCAGGTCGTGATCCCAGGGTCCTGGGATCGAGCCCCGCATCGGGCTCCCTGCTTGGCAGGAAGCCTGCTTCTCCCTCTCCCACTCCCTCTGCTTGTGTTCCCTCTCTCACTCTCTCTATCTTTCTGTCAAATAAATAAATAAAATCTTTAAAAAAAAACTCACAACTTTTAGAATTTTAAAATTAATGAACATGGGTTTTAGTCACATTAGAATAGTAATACTTCCTATACAACTGAACACATGTCCTATAAAGTAATTTTATGTATCAAAATATTTGTCAGAAAATGCTTTTTGACAAATATTTTATTATAAAAATCATTCAAGGTTTAAATCTTCCATTGGTGAAAAAGTATCATTAATATATTACCAAATCCAATGTTTAAAGTAGTACTAACAACACAGTTTACCTCATCACTTCAAACACTTCCTTGTTTAAATAAAATATAACATTTTACAAAATTTGGGAAGTAGAGAAAAAGGAAATACATA